TTTGATTAGATTGATAATAATATAAATTAGATCCTGGAAATCTCATATATTTAATTAAGTATAGTCAGTTTATCTTTTGTGAAATCTTTTAGTTGTTCATAATACTTTAGAAAACCAACTTTATCTTAAATTACCTTACCATTTTTTGAAACATTAGTAATTCTACCTAAAAAATTTCTTTCAAATGAAACTTATTACATTTCTGGATAATAATAACTAATTATTGTATTTAATAATGTATCTTCTAAAATTTTAGAATTAATTTAGATAACTATTAATTTAAGCATCATTAATGTAGACATTATAGAACCTACATCAGCTAATATCTCTCCTAATTTAGGATAAATAATTTATTAGGTTTCAGATAAACTATCTACTCCTATTAAAAATAATCCAAGATATTTGCTTCCAAAACTTTATTCAAAATTGCTCTAAGGTAATTATTAAGATGTTGTTTGAAAATCACTAATTAACTTTTGATTTTTTATTGATTCTAAAAAGAAACCTGTGTCAGTTATAGATGTTGTTATTTTAAATAATAATTAAGTGTAAAGAGCTGTTTCTCGATCCAAAATAAAATAAAGTTATTTGGAAATCATTTCAAATTCCTTTAATTTTGTGTTGTATTATTGCATTTATATTGTTAAGAAAAATGTGTTTAAAGGTTATTTAAAAAAATTTTCTTATTTTTCTTTACTTGCACAATGATCATATTAGGTATTGTCACATAATTCAAACAAAATCATTAATTACTTTTAATTCTTCGGTGAATCTTCACTCAAACCTTATTAATTAAGAACTAGAGTTATATCTTAAGGAATAATAGATGAAGAAATTCCTTTTCTAGAAGGAGGTAAAACTGTATCTAACATTAGTTATTTTTTAGAAATCATAATATCTTCAACATAAGAAAAATAAGGCGTAATGATATTTTCAGTTTTAGAAAAAGGATCAATAAATTCATCTCCACTCATTCCCACAACTTAAAATATAATAGGATCATATTCAAATGATACATCAGCATAATTTTATGTTGATTTTTAAATTGAAACTCTTGGTAATATGTCCCCATTTAACCAAAGAAACAATTTATAAAAAAAATACACTAAACTTAATGTGTATAATAAAAGCGATGTTATTCCACCAAAAGCACTTTTAAATTGCTTTTCATTCTTAAATATCTCCTATTGATAAGAAACACCAAATTAATCAAAACTTTTCAAAAAGTTCATTCTTCAATTTATTAAAATTATACTACTTATCCTTATTAATAATGTTAATTATATATATATTACATCTTATAATAGGAAAAGAACTAAATAAAATTAATTTTTATATATTAGACCTAAATACTTATTAAATAATGCTTATTTTTTGTATCTCAAATGTATTTAGATTCTCAAAAAAAAGAATCAACAAATATTTTAGAATTAAAAAAGTTTCTTTCTAGAAATTTAGCTTTTTCTCAATAGTTTAAATCTATAATAGAAATGAACTAAAAGGATATTATAAATAAAATAGTATTAATATAAAATTATTGAAATTAATTCAAAATTTGCAATAACTTAAAATGAGTAATATCTATGCAAAGGATAATTATTTTATCTATTGATTTAGATGTTCTTAGAGATAAAAATCAAATAGTATAAATATAGCATTTAAAATAACTAAGTTTAATTAGACTATATGAAAAGACTTCCGCAATCAATTACAGAATTTAAAGATGAAAATAAGGAAAAGTTTGAAAAATCTTTAAAAATATAGAACATCTGATTAAAAATATATATAGAATGAAATTTAAACAAAATAAGTTATATGATTTTGATTTAGATAAAGATATTAAAACCTATCAAATTTTAAAATGGAAATAATTAATATTACTTGCATTAAGGATTTTGAAAAAAAAATTTCAACTAATTGTTATTAATAAAAAATAGTTAGAAAACTTTGATAAAAAGATCGACAAATAAATTCTCTTTAATAAAAACTTAAAAATTCAAAAATTAATTAAATAAATTATAATAGGATTATATCTAATGGAAATCAAATAAGCCTAATGTTTGTAAGACATATAATATTAAAAATATTCTAAATCATCTAAGAAAATCAAGAAAAATGATAAATTATATAATCCTAATTTTTGTGGATCAAATGATAGATTAAATCATAAATTATTTTGGAGTGAAGAGTATAGAAGAAAGAATTAATCAATTGATTCAAATCAAACATTATATTTTTAAACATTTTTGGGTGTCATGTTGTTATATAATTTACGAAATTACTCTGTAGATGACAATTATTTTTTGTATGGATCCTCATTTGATTCTGTCTAGTTAATTATTAATCTTTTGTAATAGTGCCTTTATTATAAAATCATTATTAAAAAAAATAAATAAATGAATTATCATAAAATTTCTCTACTAAAACTTAGACATTGAGATTATTTTGAATAAGATCAATTTAATAATTTATCACATATTATATAATAAACATATTTCTATTCATGTAATATAACAAAATTTTCCACAATTTTTAACTATAAATTTTTGTAGATTATTCAATTTTTATTGTGAGATTATTTAAACAATTTTCCAATTAATTTTTAAATCTTAATTTCACTATATTAACAATCTCCTTCTGTAAATCCCATATTTATCAATGTAAGAAATTGCGTCATTTTTTATGTTATAAAATAATTAGATAGTATTTTAAAAATTAAGAAATAAGCTAATATGAAAATTTAGTAATCTCTATCCTGTTCTGAATCATTTTGAATTTACTTTTAGAGAGTCAGCTTTATATATTTGACAATATAAAACAATAAAAAATATTTCAAAATGTTAAATGATTAATTTCTTCATTTTTTTATTTTAAGATAAATATAGATAATTAAAAATAAAGTTAATTTCTTGCATTTCCAGTTAAGATATCATTGTTATTGTTTTGATATGATTTATAAAAAGAGAATCACTGTTATCAATATAATATTAATCGATAGAATTTATTCTATAAAAATTAATTATAGTATATTTTTCGATATATTAATGAATTCATAATAAATAATTTTGCTCATCTAAAAATAAAAAAATCAATATATTTAGTTAAATGAGTTTATTTTATATACCATTATGAGTAGAATAATGAAACAACACAGTAGTTGATTTCATAATGTTACAAAGTTATAAACTTTTTCATTCATGATAAAAATATATACAATAATGAATTCAAAAAAATGATCATTATTTCACGTTATTCTCGAAAATGGTATTTTAAAGCAATCCTTCAAAGTTTGAAGCTTTGCATCTAAATAAAATAAAAATTAAAAACTTCTTATATTATGCATCTTTAATGTCCATCATTGAAAGAAAAATTTTCTTCTTTTCTGTTTTATTTAGTTCATTCCTTTTTTCTCTGTATTTTTGTGGCACTTTATTTATTTTTTTTTTTAAAGGCATGCCATTTTTTGGTTAAATAAGAGGAGTATCCTCATTTTTGGTATTTTAAATGTGCCTAAATTCCTTTTAATCTGAGATTGAGGTAATTTAAGGGAAGTTTTGGTTAGCTGAAAAATTATAAGCACTAAAAATATTAAGATTGTTATTACTTTAGCATTTAATTATACATTAGTATTTGATGATGAATGTATTACTATTAAAGGTAAAGGTTTTGTTGAAAATAATTAAAAGAATGCATAAAAGAATTATTAAAAGAAAAAGATTTAGGCCTTAGAATTATATAGATAAAAATCATACGTCATATAGAAACTTACAGATAATCCTGCATTATAATAATTTTTTATTATAATAATAAAAGTTGATATCTTTAATTAATATTATAATTAAAATTATAATTGAAAGAAATTACGAAATGAGAATAATTTTAAATATAATTAGAAGAATGATAAATAATATATTTTCTTATTATAATCATATTTTTGCTTTTGTAAATGAGATTTATATGTTCCTACCATCAACTTCTTCATTATGCATTAAAGCCATAACTTCTAAAGCTAATTTCAAACTTTCCATTTTAACTAAGCACATGAATTTAAATTAAGAATTTAAAACTTTGACAGCCTAGATAAAATATGAAATAACAATATACTTCAACAACACCATANATTAACAATCTCCTTCTGTAAATCCCATATTTATCAATGTAAGAAATTGCGTCATTTTTTATGTTATAAAATAATTAGATAGTATTTTAAAAATTAAGAAATAAGCTAATATGAAAATTTAGTAATCTCTATCCTGTTCTGAATCATTTTGAATTTACTTTTAGAGAGTCAGCTTTATATATTTGACAATATAAAACAATAAAAAATATTTCAAAATGTTAAATGATTAATTTCTTCATTTTTTTATTTTAAGATAAATATAGATAATTAAAAATAAAGTTAATTTCTTGCATTTCCAGTTAAGATATCATTGTTATTGTTTTGATATGATTTATAAAAAGAGAATCACTGTTATCAATATAATATTAATCGATAGAATTTATTCTATAAAAATTAATTATAGTATATTTTTCGATATATTAATGAATTCATAATAAATAATTTTGCTCATCTAAAAATAAAAAAATCAATATATTTAGTTAAATGAGTTTATTTTATATACCATTATGAGTAGAATAATGAAACAACACAGTAGTTGATTTCATAATGTTACAAAGTTATAAACTTTTTCATTCATGATAAAAATATATACAATAATGAATTCAAAAAAATGATCATTATTTCACGTTATTCTCGAAAATGGTATTTTAAAGCAATCCTTCAAAGTTTGAAGCTTTGCATCTAAATAAAATAAAAATTAAAAACTTCTTATATTATGCATCTTTAATGTCCATCATTGAAAGAAAAATTTTCTTCTTTTCTGTTTTATTTAGTTCATTCCTTTTTTCTCTGTATTTTTGTGGCACTTTATTTATTTTTTTTTTTAAAGGCATGCCATTTTTTGGTTAAATAAGAGGAGTATCCTCATTTTTGGTATTTTAAATGTGCCTAAATTCCTTTTAATCTGAGATTGAGGTAATTTAAGGGAAGTTTTGGTTAGCTGAAAAATTATAAGCACTAAAAATATTAAGATTGTTATTACTTTAGCATTTAATTATACATTAGTATTTGATGATGAATGTATTACTATTAAAGGTAAAGGTTTTGTTGAAAATAATTAAAAGAATGCATAAAAGAATTATTAAAAGAAAAAGATTTAGGCCTTAGAATTATATAGATAAAAATCATACGTCATATAGAAACTTACAGATAATCCTGCATTATAATAATTTTTTATTATAATAATAAAAGTTGATATCTTTAATTAATATTATAATTAAAATTATAATTGAAAGAAATTACGAAATGAGAATAATTTTAAATATAATTAGAAGAATGATAAATAATATATTTTCTTATTATAATCATATTTTTGCTTTTGTAAATGAGATTTATATGTTCCTACCATCAACTTCTTCATTATGCATTAAAGCCATAACTTCTAAAGCTAATTTCAAACTTTCCATTTTAACTAAGCACATGAATTTAAATTAAGAATTTAAAACTTTGACAGCCTAGATAAAATATGAAATAACAATATACTTCAACAACACCATATTCAGAGAAGATATCCCACATAGTTTCTGCATTAGAGGAAACCTTCTTAAGATTTGAGATATGAAGAACTTAACTTGGTGGTAATAAAATCATTTTGTTATTTGCATTAAATCTAAATGTAAATAGTAATTACCTATCAGTATCTTCAGAACCTATATAATAATCTTATTCTCTATAAAGAGTGTCTAATCCCACTAACTTATCAATAGAATCATCTGCTGCGAATGTGATTTATAAATTGCTTTCGAAAAACTGTATATTTTGGCAATTTTAATATACGAAATAAGCCTAATCTTCTTTCAAATATTTGACTAAAGCAAAATTTTTGAGACTATGGTTAAGAAAAACAATTTACTTGATTAAAATAATTTTATCTATGTTACCGAAATTGCTAAAGATATTGTAAATTTTAAGAGCATCTAAGTCTTTACCTTAAATGCCATTTAAACAAACTGTTTTAGTTGATTAAATGTTTTTTGAAGAAGGAATAAGATTTTAGCTTACTGGCAGTACAGTTGCGCTTTATGGTTTAGAATCTGCATCATTTATTACTACAATCTATATTACTTTATAATTACTTTCATTCAATGAAGTGGAATGTCTGTTTTTGAAGGTGCTTGATGTAGTATCTTCAATAGTCTCATAGGATCCTATCGTAAATGAACCATGTAGTTTATCATCTAGGTAGTAGGAGCATTTTATAAAGTTTGATGAAAGTTGATCTAAAGCTTTTTTTGCATTTTTTGCTGCTTCTGGATTAGCCATTTCTACCAATACTCTACATTCCATTAATGATCGATTCAAAATTTTTACTTAGAGGACAGGCCCATACCTTTCATAATCAAACATTTAATATATACTAATTCATCAATTAGCTAAAGTATTCAGGGTTCAAATTTGAAGGTGGAGCTGTTAAAGTGAGTAATAAAAAATGTGAATTATGGAGAGTTTCTGGCAAATTTGGTGAAGAGTAGCTAAACATATATACTTATTTATTTAATAATTTTCATTTCCAGTTTCTATTTCAAATATTAATATCTTCCTAATGGATCCTTAATTATAGATTTATTCATTAAAAATTTCTTTAGAAAGATTGGAATACATTCTAGATTCCTCTAATATTAGAAATTAATATAAATATCCATATTTATCAGTCTGTCGTAAAATTTACAAAAATCAAAATGAAGCAATTATTGAAAAGTTGTAATTAGAATTGTTAAGACTTATAATTTCTTTGATTTTCTAGATCTATGTAAATATTAAAATAAATTGATAAAATATATTGAAAATATTAATTCAAATTTATGATTAACTTTTAGATTTTATTTAACTCTAAATAGTTTCAAGTGGTTTATTATTATACTTATTAACAGGGTTTTATAAGGAATAAGACGTAGAGAAATTAACTTTTGCTTCATTAAATGAAGTAGTTTCATCCTATTCTTCCTACTAGAACAAACTTTCAACAAAATATTACATTGGTAATACAGAACTTAGAAAGGAAACTAAAATTGATGCAATAGCCCAATAACTTGTAGTTCCAGTTATTTGATAATTAAAAATTAAATATCCAGCCGCATAAATAATTGGTAGATATTCCATCATTTCTGTCATTAATATTGATAATTAAATTGATGGAGTATGCTTTACAGACATTCTATTACAAATTACATACTAAAATTATTTAATTTTATTACCTTTTCTGCGCAATAATACAATGCTAAACCAACAAAACTTGTAATATATCCAGCAGGGGTTAATGGAGTATAGAAAAAGGTAATAAATAAAGTTTTCATAATATCAGCATACTTTAATTCAATTAAATGTTCACTATGTTCATATAAATCATTTAATTCTTTTTAAGTAACAACTTAATTAAATTTTTTAATCCACCATAATTTTAATTATTTAATAATTCTATTTGGATCAACTAATGTTACAATTGGAGGTATTATAGCATTAGTCATAAAAAAGTATGTTTCTGTATAAATAAGTCCACCAGGACCAAATAAATTGCGAGTATATATTGTACTTGCTAAAAATGCAATTATAGCAGAATTAACAAATAACATTAATGATAATTTTGAAGCTAATGAAACTGTATATAGAGAATATGTTTCATAACTTTCAAAACCAACCAAAAAATTAGACAGTCTACCTACAACAAAAGAATTAATAAATGTAGTTAATAAAGCAGCTATGATAGAACCCATATTTTTAGATTTCTATTATGAAGGTAAAGAAACCTATACAACTCCCTAATCAGTTTATACATCTACTAATGTAGCTGGAACATTTGAAGCATCTAATGCTTAAATTTTAGCCAATTCTAATAAGGTTATTAGAAATAAAGCAATTACAATTTATGAAAATGTAAAACCAAGTAATCTAACCCAANNNNGTAAAATTTACAAAAATCAAAATGAAGCAATTATTGAAAAGTTGTAATTAGAATTGTTAAGACTTATAATTTCTTTGATTTTCTAGATCTATGTAAATATTAAAATAAATTGATAAAATATATTGAAAATATTAATTCAAATTTATGATTAACTTTTAGATTTTATTTAACTCTAAATAGTTTCAAGTGGTTTATTATTATACTTATTAACAGGGTTTTATAAGGAATAAGACGTAGAGAAATTAACTTTTGCTTCATTAAATGAAGTAGTTTCATCCTATTCTTCCTACTAGAACAAACTTTCAACAAAATATTACATTGGTAATACAGAACTTAGAAAGGAAACTAAAATTGATGCAATAGCCCAATAACTTGTAGTTCCAGTTATTTGATAATTAAAAATTAAATATCCAGCCGCATAAATAATTGGTAGATATTCCATCATTTCTGTCATTAATATTGATAATTAAATTGATGGAGTATGCTTTACAGACATTCTATTACAAATTACATACTAAAATTATTTAATTTTATTACCTTTTCTGCGCAATAATACAATGCTAAACCAACAAAACTTGTAATATATCCAGCAGGGGTTAATGGAGTATAGAAAAAGGTAATAAATAAAGTTTTCATAATATCAGCATACTTTAATTCAATTAAATGTTCACTATGTTCATATAAATCATTTAATTCTTTTTAAGTAACAACTTAATTAAATTTTTTAATCCACCATAATTTTAATTATTTAATAATTCTATTTGGATCAACTAATGTTACAATTGGAGGTATTATAGCATTAGTCATAAAAAAGTATGTTTCTGTATAAATAAGTCCACCAGGACCAAATAAATTGCGAGTATATATTGTACTTGCTAAAAATGCAATTATAGCAGAATTAACAAATAACATTAATGATAATTTTGAAGCTAATGAAACTGTATATAGAGAATATGTTTCATAACTTTCAAAACCAACCAAAAAATTAGACAGTCTACCTACAACAAAAGAATTAATAAATGTAGTTAATAAAGCAGCTATGATAGAACCCATATTTTTAGATTTCTATTATGAAGGTAAAGAAACCTATACAACTCCCTAATCAGTTTATACATCTACTAATGTAGCTGGAACATTTGAAGCATCTAATGCTTAAATTTTAGCCAATTCTAATAAGGTTATTAGAAATAAAGCAATTACAATTTATGAAAATGTAAAACCAAGTAATCTAACCCAAAATCTTCTATTATCATTATGAACAATATTATCCCAAATAACATCTCCAGGTTCAGGAGCTTATTCAACTTTTATAAATGTATTATTAAGCTCTAAACTTTTAGCTTCTTATATTATACATCCAAAAAATATATTTGAAATTACTTACTAGGTTCTATAACTAGAAGATTTTAAAATCATTTATTTGTGATCTTCATATTTAAAAGATAAAAAAGCTGTTCCAGAGAATAATTCATAATCTTATTATATTCTTTATGCTTCAGTTTTAATCTAATCTTATTTTTGTTTCTTCTATTCATTTAAATTCATTATCAAATCATTTTCATTATTCTTTAATGCTTATTTTTACAACTTTACTATAACATCTAATTCACGTTCTAATTCTTTAAGAGTATTAGCATAAAATATGTAATCTATCTCCATAACTTCAACATTAAATTAATTTTCAAAAAATTCTTTTAATTATTATTGTCTACACTCTTTAGGTATATCTTTTACTATCAATGTGTAATCAGATGGTGTATTTTCTTTGATATCACAATCATTATCTATAATTAATTATGATTTTCTAAAAAAGAAAATAATAATTAAAATGAAGATAACACTGGAAAAATTAAAATAATGTGGTAACTCAGTTAAAATTGTTTAAAATCTTTTATTTGCTAAAGATGATCGTGCTATCCAATCATTTAAACAATAATTATGCACTTATTCACTCCAAGAATCTTATTTTTAAATCTCTTTATATCTATGTTGCACTTAAATAACTAAGTCTTCACAATCGTTGCTTGTTAAATTTGAAACAAGTTAATATTATCCTGAGGTCAAGAACAATACTCCAACAATCATAAGACAACATTTTATGAAATTAAAATACAATGGATAACCTGATCCAAGAAAAGAAAAGGCCATCTCATCTCTTTAAAAATCAATTTGTATTTTGTGCTATAAATATTAATGCTATTATAATACAATTTACTATTTACAACAAGGACAAATATTTACTATCTCTCCTTCTTTATATGGCTTTGGAATACCTACTTTGCTTGCTAACTTAACATCTATTTTTAAAATACTTAATGTTGCTCAGCTATTTGATAATATGGAGGAATCATATTTTCATCATATTAATCAGAAGTATAAAACTCTAATTACCCATTTTTCAAAGTTGCTGTCATCAAAAGTTACTCAGTCTATTGGTCGCTAACTTACATAATATTTGAATTTCTAGAAATTATTGATTGATTTTATTTAAATTGAATTTTAACTTTTTTTTTTATTACTTTTAATGTTGTATCTATTTTTATAAATATCAAGGATATCTCTTTTTAAACTAAACAGATTTGCTTTATTGAAAATTTATGTTCCTCTTTTATATTTGGAAAACCAATTATCTTCGTAAATTACTGTTAAAAAGTAAAATAGTTATTATTCATAGTAAAATATCGATATACTTATTCAAATTTTAAAAGCTTTTGACTCTTTTTTGAATAAAATAAAACAGTTTTAGATTATTTAAATAATCACTAGGTATGTTTTAGATATATTACTAATTTAAATAAATGTAAAGCATTCAATATAACTAAACATAAGAATAACTCCTTAATTATAATTTAATATTCATAATAAATTCGTAATGAACTCCATAAAACAAGACATTTATTTTAATTAGACAGATAATGCTCCTTTTTGGATTGAAACTCCTTAAAGCAATATAATTGTATAACAAGAAGATTTCTTTATAGTTTTAAGAAAAAATAATCTTAAAATGAAGAAACTAAAAATTGCTGAGCATTTAATAATATATTCAAAAACAGTAACATTTTTCTCATATTTAGAAATCCATTAATTGTTTAAATTGTCAACTTGAAAAAGTTAAAAATTCTTTAGTTATTTAATAAGGTTTAAAAATTAGCAAATAAGGAAAATACCTAGAAATATTTGGTGATATAGATTAATTATTTGAACATTTAAAGAAATACTGCTTGTAAATAAATTTTTTATAGATTTATAAATTGTGTTCTGTTCTTGTGGAAAAAGAAAAGAAGAAAGTTTTTATTATATATAAAATATTTAGATTTATAAGATTCGACATAGAGTAACTAATGAAGAAAAAATAGCAAAAGTTTATGAATTTGATGGAAGAAATATCTAAATAATAAAGAAAGAAATTTAGATTCTTAGATTATTAAAGCATAAAAATATTGTTCAAATGGAAGAATTATTTAAAATAGATAATAGCCTTATTTTAGTTTTTGATAATCTTGAAGGAGGTGAATTAGCTGAAAATTTATTAAAAAATCAATATTCTGAAGAGATCATTAGAATAATAATTAAACAAATATTATAAGGCATAGCTTATTTACATGATTTGGGTATATTTCATAGAGATTTAAAACCTGAAAACATTTTATTTAAAAATAAAGAATAATTAGAATAATTATAAATAATTGATTTTGCTCTTGCAGACTTTTAGAGTAATGAACATAAATATTTATTTACTCGATGTGGTACTCCAGGATATGTGGCTCCAGAAATACTTTAAGATAAGAGATATTCATTGAATGTAGATATATTTAGTGTTGGTGTTATCCTATATATGTTATTGACTCAAAAGAATCCATTTATAAAAGAAAAAATAAATTATGATCAAATAGTTACTGCTAATTATGATGGTCAAATAGATTTTTCTGAAATCAAATGCTCTATAGAATGCCTTGATTTATTAAAGAAATGTCTTAAAGTTGATCCACATAAAAGAATTTCAGCAAAAGATGCTTTAAATCATCCTTTTATATTAGGAATTTTATCAACTGAGTAGAGTTAATTTAGAATAAAAACTTTAGGTCATCTTTAAAAATAATCATCGAATGGATCTCTTAGAAAAATCATTCATATAGGTAGTATAGATAGTCCAAGATATTCTTAAAAATAGACTATAAAATCACTTCATTCAGAAAGTCCTATTGATACTACTTCAGATAGTCCTGGTACACCTAAATCAGCTAGAACTGAAAATAGAACTTTAAATTTTAAATTGTAAAAATAGCAACAATGGAATTCTTTTCGTGTTTCAAAATTTAAAAAATGAAAATACAAATTTATTTTTATGTTTTAATTAAATCAAATTGTTAAAATCAATTTTTAAAAATAGATTTTTTCATCTATTATCTTCCTTATTTAATTTCATCACTTAATGGACTTTATTAATTTGGAGAATTTCCACTTGATTTTTACTAAAAAGAAATCTATTTTTTAAATAATTTAATTGTGCTTCCATCTGGACTGAAATTATTACTTTAAGTTCTAATACGAAAACTAGAATTTTATCTTTAAATTTTATTAATCTAAGGAGTTTAAGGACTCAGAGGACTTACATCTTAAGAGCATGTATACTAATTATTTAACTTAGTTTTTTGCTAATTATTTTTTAAAGTTAATTATCTTAACTTTTAACTTGCTTTAAATTCCATCACTTCTGATAATCTCTCTTTTTTAAACCATTAATGATTTAAAGCTATTTGAGAGCTCATTCTTTCATTAGGACTTTCATTTAATATACCTTATATAAAATTGAGACCTTCATCACTTAAAAATAATTTTGAAAAGTCAATATCACATTATAAATTTGATTCTATAATATTTTATTAATTATTCCCTTAAAATGGAGTTTTTCCACATAAAGAGTAATACATAACAATTCCAGCACTAAATACATCAACTCTTTAATCATAATATTCATTTCTTAATATTTCTGGAGCTGTATAACCAGGTGTACCACATCTTTATTTTAAATATTCAGGAATCTATTATTCATTATCAGAGTCCTCTGTCGAACTAAATATTTATTAAACTATTTCAGCTGATCCAAATGAACTTATAGTTGGATTATCTAAATTTCCATTTAATCCAAGCCAAATGTTATCTGGTTTTATATCTCTATGCATAATATTTTTTGAATGAAGATATGCTAATCCTTTGAAAATTTTAAACATTAATTTCTGTGACTTTTCTTCTGATAGTACAGGAAATTTTTATAAATAATTATTTAATGTTCCTCCCAAAGTTAATTCTGTTATTACAATAATCTAATCGGAACTTTCAAAAACTTCATAAAACTGTTGCAAATATTCATTATTGATTCTTCTTTGAATATATATTTATTTTTCTAATGAGGCTTCTATTTAAGAGTTTAATTAATTTTTACAATAAATTATACCTTAATAATCTCGATTTCCCTCTATTTTCTTAACTCTAAAAGCCTAAATTTAGAATTAAATTATACATCTTATGAAATTTACTTAAACAATTCATAATGTTTTTTAAAATCTAATTAAATTGTAAATCTTTTAATAATAGGTAGTAAACGTAAAACATCACCAAATATAATTATTTCATCAAAACATTTTATTAATTTTATTCCTTCCCCAAATTATTCATTTTTTATGATTTCAAGAATTGAATTTTCATAATCTAACCAGCAAATATCACCCTGATTATAAAAATAGTCAAATACATTTTTTTTAGTGTTCCTCATTATATTTTACCATATCATCAAATGTTTTTTCTTTGGTAAATTTTGTTTGCTCAGCAAAATTACATCAATTTGTAATTCGAATTCCCCTTATATTTTAGGAATTTTTCTTCTGCTCCATTCCATTCGAACAAATTTTCTCTAAAAAAAACTTTTTCTGTGAGATGCTTCGTATTCGATTTTATTTTAAATCAAATCAATATTTTTTTTTGGTTATCTTTACATAAATTATATTTTATTTTAAATAATATTATCAAGAATTTCAACCATTACTAATGAAGAATAATTAATATTATCAATTTTATTTAATTTTTAATACTAAAACTTAAACCTAAATAACTTGTTTAAAATCTTATTAAAATTAAACAAATTGATAAACTATCATACAATTAGTTTCAATCATAATATTGGTTACATATATTGGTAGATATTATATTTACAAACATAAAATACTTAATTTACTCTATATTATTGAATTGAAAAATTTTCATCTAAATATTTTATACATAATCTATGTTAATCTTCATATTTGCTTTAATACTTTGTATAAATTTTTGTAAGCTTAATTTAGATTTAATTTTGGATAATTAAATTACTAATTTTTCATTTGTACTTATTTTTAATTTAAACTATTTAATTATAATATTTAAAATCAGTGTTATAAATTATTATTACACTAGAGGATTGATAGTTGTTAAAAATATTACTAATTTCTAAATGACAACAAAATACTATAAATAAAAATCTGTTATTTGATTAATTCTATTTATGCAATTGTTAATTTAATTAATAAATAATATATTGATTGTTGATTTAAGGATTAATTGACACTATTCTTATATTACAGTTTAAAAAATTTATTTTACCGATTCTGTTTGATTTTTAGATTAATTCTTTGAAAGAATTAATAGGTAAAACAACCTATTTTATTCTTTTTTTTCGTTTTCGACATCCATTTAAAGAGTTCTAATCAAAAAAATACTTTGATTCTTATTTTTATTTGATTGGAATTCCAATAATTTATATTTTTAATTCGTATATTTAAAAGATATCAAGTAATTATATAATTTTAATGAATAAATGGATTTTCGAATAGAATTTTGTAGAGTATCTAGTGAAATTTTTTAAAGGTTAATCAAGCAAAAGATTAGATTTTTTTTTGATTAGGATTGATAAATAAAAAAATTGAATTATAATTTAAAAATTTTTATTCTATTAAACTTATCCTTTTGTAAATTTATGACAAATAAAAAGCAAAAACTAGAGGATAATTTATGTTTTTAAAAATCTTGATGACAATTTGTAATGTTGACTTAGGAAGTATTAAAATTGATAATATTTTAATTTATTTATAAGTTTTCTGAGCCTTGTTAATTAAATATGCTCTTAATTAGTTAAAGTGCAATTAAAAATAAAAAAAAAAATTTTTATGTAGGATGTCCCTTGTCTACAAGTTGTTGAAGGAATTGATGGAGATTATGGTTTTATTGGTTTTCCTCATCATTTAGGTGCAAAAAAAAAAAAAAGGGACAATTTAGGATAAGATCATGGACTGCTGAATTATTAGTAATTTTATTGTCCTCGTTATGGTAATATCCATATTGATGATGACTAACATTTAGAAAACATTTTTAGAAAAATTGAATTTAAAGGTGTAAATTGCATATAATAAGAATCATATACCAATAGTAATAGGTGGATCAAAGGATTGTGTATTTGGTATTTTAAGTGATGAATTACATGTGATTTCAAAATATCATATTCCTGATATTTAGATTCCATATGATGAGAATAAATCAAGTATAAATTTAGGTTTAAAAGCATCAAAAAATAAGATTTCGATAATTTATTTTGGATATGATAATAGCAGACTAAATTAAGATGAGCAAAATCATATAAATGCAATGGATTTAGTTTATAGAAAATAAGATAGCTTTAAAAGACTTTTCATAAAGATTTAAAATCTCAAGCAAAATAGGCTGGAATAATGTTTAATTAAATACTTAAAAATCTTTAAGGAAAAAGAATTCATGTTTCTATTTCTTTAGAAGCTATTGATGTATATTCTTTTTACTAAAAATAGTCTGCTTTCTGTCCTGGAGTAGGTAGGTCTTGTGAATTTGGAAATAGTGTATTTAGCAGGTAAACATACTATAAGTTTGGATATTACAGATTATAATCCAACAATTGAGGATTATGGAACAGGATTTTTACTAGGAAATCTCATCTATTATTATATTTTATCAAAAGGAAAAAATATAAATTGATACTAATGTATTAATTACAAATACTATTATAATTATATATAAAAGAATTAATATTTTGATTAAAGTGGAATACCAAGTAATAACAGCTCTTTTGATTTCTGATAATGAAGATATTGTCTAGAGATTGTAAATTGGAGGATTTCTATCTGGATTATGCTAAGTTAAATATCTACTTCTTAAAAAAGATGTCAAAGTCATCATAATTTGCCGAGCTAATAGTAATTGTAATGGAACTCAAAAATTTTTAAATCAAGACTCCAAGGATATTTTTATGGAATTTAAATGTATCAATGAACTATATTTTAATAGTGCATCTTGAAAAAAAGAAAATAATTCATTGATATGAAATTTTTTAAAACCAGAGCTTTTGGAATGACACCTAAGTTCCCTAAATAATTTTACATTACCTTACATATGTTTGGAAAGAGAAGGTACCTTTTCTATTTCTCAAAAATTTTTTCCAGTTTCAATTAATTTTTGTGCAAAAATCAATAATAAGGATATTATCATAAATATTACCAAATAGTAGGTTCAAAAAAAAAAGGTTATATTAATACCTTAATTGACAAATCTACCATCATAAAATATGCTTCATTATGGAGTTGATTTTCTTTAAAAATTTAGGGTTTGTAGAATTGAAAAGGTTAGTTATGCTCCTACAACTTGTGGACAATAATTGTAAAGATTTATGTATTGAAAATAAGATATGCTTATATTGTGAAATATCATACACCAGCCCTCAAAATTTTAATATAAATTTTAGTTAAAGAGTCAAATCAATGAATAATAAATAATTTCTTGAATATGTACAAGTAGATAATGAAATTTTAGCAATTATGAATATTTAATGTAAAATATAATATTTAATTACTCTCTATGTAACAATAATCATTAAATTTTGCTAGGCGATAAATGCTAAATTTCAGAATGCAAGAAGTGCTAGACTATATTTGAATTCATATACAAGATTATATATCAGTTTTCAAATAATCCAACAGCTTAATATTTATTAATCCATTTATTTCTAAATATTTTAAAACATTTATATAGATGAACTTTTTTAATGTTCAGAATTTATTCATCTCATTTATTCTTAAAAATTAGCCTGTTTGATAAAAACTGATAAAGATGTTATTTATTAGTAGAAATGATATTTATTAACATATTTGATAATAATTATTTAAATGAATATAGTTTTAATAGCTTTTTCATAAGATTAATAAATAAAGACAGCTGAAAAATATTAGTTTACTTCAAAATGCTTAGTAACAAATGATATCTACGAACAATAAAAGCAATTATGGCAATTTGATAAAGCAGTGATCATTCTTGATAAACTATCTTTTAATTTGTCTGCAGAATATAAGTTCGAACATCTTACAAATAATTTAGAACCTAATTTTTCAATATTTAGAACTTTAAAATTGTTAGGGTAAATTGTTTGTATTTATTTTAGCTATCAATAAGTTTTAGTTTCTTTAGAATAAATAAAATTATAAAAATACAAACAAGCAATTACATAATTAGAGCAATCTATTTTATCTATATTTAATGATAATGAAAGAATAAGCGAGGATGAAAGAAATGTCTTTTCTCTTAAAAATCCAGAATTAAAAATAGTATAGAATTGTGAATCTGATGAAATTTAAAAATTCTTTCACAATGAAATTAATTTAACTTAAAAATTGATATTTTCGACAGAATGTATCGTTGTGAGACATGATGAAGAATTTCATGTTTTAAAAGTTCTTTAAGGTTCTTTATATGTAGGATAGCTATTAAAATCGACCTAAACAATGTCTTGGATTAAATAAATAAATGTAAGTACAACTGGAGAAAGTAATAAATATAATTAAAGATAGTTTCTGTTAAATTTGAAGATAACAAAAAATTGGAAGGAGTGTTATGCAGTTATTAACATTGTCCAGATGAAATAATTAAATTAGAAGTTGAGATTTAATTAGCAGAAATTCCAATTTTACCTTTAAGAGATGTTTTTAGAAAAATGGGCTAAGTTAAAATGATATTTGGTAATTAGGAATTTGAAATATAAAATACTAATAAAAATTCTATTGAGTTTCTAGGTATCAAAACTAAAAATGGGAATTTAATTGAAAATTCAAAACATATTGATTTTCGTTAATGTCAATTAAGTCTATAAATTATTAATTAAGCATCATTGAAGTTTTTAAACCTAACATCAAAGCCTATTTTATTGTAATTTGATATTCTATATTAGTTTCATTAATTCATATCAAACAATTGTTTTTTATGGATAAATTTCTAAGATTATTGAAAAGAAAAATAAAAAAGTTGATTTAAATTAATATTTTCCGATTTAAAAATTCAAATTCACTTAAAATATGATTTTTAGATAGAATGAAGATTTAAGATACTTTTGCAGGATTTGTAAAGCAAAAAAAATAAATAGAGTTTTAAAGGAATGTGGTCATTTAAGATATTGTAATGATTGTGTAGATTTTTGTCTTGAATCTAAAGAGTGCTATTATTGTACGAAATCTCTAACTAAAACCTACCCCATTTCAGTTATATATTTGGATGAGAAAATATTTATAGACTTATAAGATGGGAAAAAATAGTTTTAATAGTTTACTTCTAAATAAATTATTGAGGAAAACCAAATTTCTTCTTATTTGAAATTAATTTATAAATAACAAAAGGATGGTTTTTTAGATTTTTAGACAATTTACTGCAACCTGTGTGATTATTCTATGAACAAAAATTTCAACTGTTGTTCAAATAATCATATAATATTAACATGTGAGAAATGTATTCCAACCGTTTGTTTAGAATGCTAAGATTAAATTAGCTTCTCATATAAGATTGATTATGAATTTTTAGAAGATTTACATTGAATATTTGGGTTATGCCCACTATTTTAAGAATTTTTTTCTAATATTAATAGTTTTTTTCTTAAGAAAAAAAATATTTTGTTTTCTTAGCAATTATAAACTTTAAGAAATAATTTAAAAAAAATCTTCAATATGAATTTTAATACTTATAAAATTTATTTTTTCATTACATTACAATTTATTCAACTAAATTCTACTGTTTTGATATTTAATTCTTAAATAATTTGATTTTATAATATAAATCATGATTTTAGAGGTTTAATCTATAAAAATATTAAAGATAATAGTAAATTTTGAAAAAAAGGTAAACACTTTTAGTGTCCAAAAAAGTCAAATTATGATCATTTATGCTTATAAATGAATAAATTATGATTCTCAATTAATTGATTCTGTTTGGCATGTTCTTATCTATTAGGTTCACTAAAATGTATCACTTAAATAATAATTACGTTTTTTTAAGATTAGCCTGATGAAAGATACTTTCCTTAAAATTCTTTCTATGCAAAGACATGAAAGTCATTGCATGTTTCTTCAAAATGATCAAATTTACTATTTTTTTTTTATAAATTACAACGATATTATTTATTCCATACATTCGCTATATTTTTAATAGGACATTAGGAATGGGCTGATTAAAGATTTTTAAATAAAGTTTAATTTTCCAAATAATTTTTATGCTTACTTATCTTTTTAACTGATAAAATCAATGATTATTTCGCTGGAATTTTTAAGCTCAAACTTTTTTAAATTTCTTTCATTTAAAGTTTTAACTAACAATCCAAATCTTAAACTAAAGTAATTAGAACTTATCAATTTACTATCAGATATTTTTATTACATAATTTAGATTATGAATTTGTTGATTACCTTTAGGGTAAAGATGAGTATAATTACATTTAGAAATCAAGAATACATTATTAATGGATATCAAATCGATGATAAAAAGTGATTCATCTGTTTTGTATGAATCTGAAATTCTATAAGTATCAAAATTTTCTAAATTATTTATATCATTTAATTGAAGTATTAGTTAAACTTTACGATGTAAAAATTTTATATTTCAATTTATAAATAATAATTTTCAAAAATAGTAAGCTTTTTGAAAATAATATGTTTATGTTTCTTGAACACCAATAGATTAACAAAATTTCAGGACTGATTGTAATTCTTGAATTAAACATATTAAAATCCTTTATTAAAAAATATATAAGCCAATGTAATTATGTTATAGTTTCGTTGATTTGGAAATAAAACTTTAATTTTTTTCATGATGATTTTTTTGTTTGTCTTCTCATATAAAATTAAAAATTTTTTATTTAAAACAGAAAAAAAAAGTAAAATAAAATTAGAAAATTAAATCTGTTATTAAAACTACCAATTGTTTTATCAGAAAGCAATTATATTTGGAAAAAATTTTTGGGCCTGATAGATAATTAGGAATTTTAATTTTTTAGCTTTAAATTAGGAAATTTTATCATTTGACAATTATTTGAGAAATTAAAAATAATGGATTTTGAATCCATGTTATTAAAGAAGGTTTTTCCTAAAATTTAAGAATTTTGGCAAAATTGGAAATAAAAAGTTTTTCTTCAAAAAAAGAATTTTTAATTGACAAAATTCATCTTTTTTGAAAAATGATAGATTAGTTATGTTTGAGTTATATTGGGAAGTTTTATTTGAAATTTGAACAATTGTAATAACGAAGGCTCTATTTCTTGCAGTTTAAGTTTCATAAAAACAAGAAATAGTGATATATTTGATATGATAAATATGAGTATATATATTCAAGTTATGTGATTATTATATTTTGTTTCTAAAATTTTACTTGGAAACTCTAATGATTTGACGGTTGGTGCTATTTGATGGTATTTTTTATTCTTACAAATAAGGAAACTTAAAAATGAAGATGGAGAAGAAAACACAATTCATAAAGTAAAACTTTCAAAGCTATTGATTCTTTGATTTAAATTTATTTAAAGTAATATTAATTATTATATAATCTGTAGTCTGAGAAGATAATATCTCTTAGACAATCTTTAAAATTTTATATAAAATAATTAAGAAAATATTTTAAATGGAAATTGTATGACGTGTCGAATAATCATCGCAAAATTTGCTATTTATCAGATAAAATATTCGAATTTCTAGAAATTAAATTAACATGTAGTAATAGTGTGTTTTTAAGCAAGATGCTCGTAAACTTTACCTTGATGGAGAAGGGAATGTAGATTTTGTAAAAATTTAAGCAAGATGGGATGAATTAAAATCCATTAAAGTGAGTTTGGGAAATAAGTATTTTACTCCAGAAGTGATTGAAAAAGCAAAATCTCTACCTTAATAAGATCAATAAAGATTTTTAGATTTAATGCTTGCTGGATTGACAAATGATGATAGCTCAGTAGGAATTTGTGCTACAAGACCATAAGATTATGATTTTTATGCTTTCTATTTAGAGCAATTAATTAGAGATTATCATTAGATTTAAGGAGATACTAAATAAGAGCATGATTGGAATATACCAATCGATGAATATGTTTTGACAAAAATAAATCCAACTTTAGAAAAAGTATCAATGAGAGCCAGAGTGGCAAGAAATGTTAAAGGATGGAATCTCCCACCTTCAATGGATAAAGAAGAAAGATTAAAATTTGAAAGTAAGATGGTAGAAGCATTTGAATCATTTGGAATACCAGGAAAATATTATAGTTTAACACCAGGACATAAAAATTAAATAAGTGAGAAAGAAGCTGATGATTTAAGACATAAACATTTCTTATTTAATGATATGACAACAGATAACTATTTAACAGCTTCTGGAGTTGCATCTGATTGGCCATATGGAAGAGGAATTTGGCTTAGTGAAGATTAAACTAAAATGATATGGGTGGGTGAAGAAGATTTATTAAGAATTATTTCAATAGTTTAAGGTAATGATTTAGGTAAAGTTGATAAATCATTACATGATCTATTAACAGGAATAGAAAAAAGTGGATTAGAATTTGCAGAACATCCAGTCTATGGTGTTATTACTACATGTCCTACTAATATGGGAACAGGTAAAAGATAATCAATACTTGGAAAATTCCCAAATATAACAAAATAAGGAACTGATGAAAAAAAATTAAAAGAAATTGCAAAATAATTTGGACTATAAGCAAGAGGATGTGGAGGTGAACATTCAGCTATGGATAAAGAAGGAACTGCAGATATATCTCCATCAGCAAGATTTGGAGTTACAGAAGCAAATGTTACAAAGAAATTATATGAAGGTCTAATCAAATTATATGAAATTGAAGCATAAGCAGGAAATGAATGATAAAATATATTCAATTATAAAATCAATATGTTTATTCAAATTAAGCTCTAATAATAATAATGTTTAAAAAAGTTTAAGACCATTAATTTAATTATATTTTTTTGTTTTCACAATTATAGATAATAAATTTCTAGAAGAGAGATAATTAATATATACTGATCCTGAAAGTTGCTAAATTAACACTCTGAATATAAATACAAAGGAATTTAAAATTGAATATGAAGTTGATTACGAATATAGATAATTGGCTATGCAAGCTATATAATAAATAGAATAAGTGTTGAAGTAAAAAACAGGTAAGATAGTTAATCTAATTTAGGTACTTGGCTTATGGCATCTAAATAAATTGAATAATATTGCAGAAGAAAAATCCCATCTTCTTCTATTCCAACATATTTTTATTAATATATTTAAATTAAGCTTTAGTTAAAGTCAATTCAATCAAACTTTAGGTCGAATTGAATTAATATAAAGAGTTATTCATTAATATGTCACCAGATGTGTAATTATTAGAAAAGCCTAATATTGTGAAATAGAGGCAGGATGAGAAACTAGTGCTGAGGAAATTATTAAAAATGTTTATAATTAAGAGGAATGAAAAATTTGGAGGTTATTCTAACAGAAGTTTCAAAATATGATGATTAATCATTCTTATTTCCTCCAATATTTCGATGAATAAAAGGAGGAACAGAATAACATCCTCAAATAGAATAGAAAAAATTTTAAGATGTTCCTAATTTAATATTGTATGCTCCTTCTCCATGGCCAAAATATGAGTAAAGAATGATCAATACAAGATTATCTTTTGGCTTAGGAGGAATTAATTAAATCAAATCTGAAAACTTAGAGACAATAGTGAAGGAATTATTAGATAATTTATTGGAGATAATTCATAAAAATCATCCTTCTAAGATTTATTAAATAAAAAAGGAATTGGATATATTAATGATTTACTCTCTATGAGAAACGAATTATCTAAAAAGCAATATATTATAGATAGATTAAAATATACTCTATTCTGATTGCCCTTAGTGTGAAAATTTGTTCAATTGAACATTTAGTATAATCTCTTGAATTAGATAATAAATTTGAAAAACCATAATTGAGATCAACTTTTAATGGAATAATCCCTCATTAATATATTACAAAAAAAATTAATCCAAAAGTCGAGGATGCTGTTGATAAAACTTAAAATAACAAACCTGAAGATTAAAACTTAAATAAAGGTGAATAGATTAATCTTAAATTACATAAAAGAACAAAAAGAACAAGGAAGAGTTTTAGATCCAAAATCTTGAAATTTGCAAATAAATTAGATTTGGAGGATAAAAGATATGAACTTGACTTTTTACCCTTTTTAATATCTGTTTAAGTTAGTTTGTATCATGTATGTAAACTCTTGACACCTTGGTATTAAGTAGAAATAAAGAAATAACCATTTAGTTCATTCACCTAAATGTTATTAATCAATACTTTTCCTGAGATTAAAATCTCCTAATTACCTTGAGAAGCAAGATTTTATTTCAATATTATTGCTCATAGCTCAATAGGACAACAGTAAATTATAGGTTGCACAACTATGTTTATATTTTCAGAAGAGAAAAGATTTAGAGCTCATATGAATTCATTAAATATCTGGCCTTTCTATAAAATTGATCCTAGATTATTTTGTGTAGGTTATTATTTTGGTTCGGTTATTCATAATAAACCTGAATTACTTAAAAAGTTAATAATTAGATAGATTGATTTATGATAATAAATATGTCTCTTATTATCTAAAGATTTGCTTGAATGAATGCATAAATTAATTATTATTATTATTAAATAATTCATCTTTTTTTTTTTATTTCTTTTATTGAACCTCAGCATTTATGCTTCTGTTTTAGGTAAACAGGTTTCGTATTCTCAAACTCCTACTATCATTTCCTAATGAAATGAATGATTTACACCAAAACCTTGAATAAATCGTTCTAAACTAAGTATTATGTTTTACAACAGAGGTTCCCGCATAAATTATGATCTTAATTTTATGTATAAAAATTCACCGTGCATAACCACTGTAATTTTTTTAAATCCTTTTAAAAATCATATCCTTAGGTATCTAAAATCTTTCCTCCATCAGTCAATTTTTAGTCCTTTCTAATTATTTGAGTTTTCAAAAATTGTTCGGCTGCTTGCTTATACTTGTTTTACTCTTACCTCCATAATTTTTTTTAAATTCGCAATTTCTTCCATTAATTATAAGATTTGTTTTGTCACTTTTATGTTTCTATATTTTAATTTCTTCCAATTATCATTACAATGAGAATATTATCATTTTTATTTCTTAAAATAATTGCAAATTATACTTTATGTTAATTTTTTTAATTGTAAACTTTCATAATACTAATATTTTTCTTCCTTAAATCATTCCCATTTAATCTTTTTTATCAGGATTTTTTTTAGCTCTTCTTGATTTATGAAAGAATTTACTTTTTTAAACCGATCAGCAAAAATATTACTAGTCAATAAAAACACTAAAATGCAATAAAAGAATGATCCAATACAAATATAATCTGAAAATCTGCTATAAATGAGTAATAAAAGTCATTCCAATTTAAATAAGATTATCAAAAATATCTCATTAGGTAATTTATTACCTTTCAGATTAAACTTAATCTTAAATATTCTATTTTTTATTGCTTAGAATCTCAAAATCTAATAATTATTCTATTCAGGGTTCAATTTGATTAATTATTTATTTATAAGGAATTGGTGCTACTGAAAAATCACCTATGTTGAAAATACTTTATAGATATTATAATTTAAATCATATTATCATAGATAAATTAACGTATCTTGAAATTGATATATATTAGATAAGTGTTTATTGAATATTTCTACAGAATTAAATCAATGTAAACATAAATTTTATTTGACTACTAGTAAATCAGCTAGATAATAAGCAGAAATAGATATTGAAAATAATTATGATTGAGAATGAAGTTATGTTGACTGTAGAATCATCTATAGCTGATATTAGAAATCAATTACTATTTAATGAATTTGAAGCTATTCTTTCTTAATTGAGATTAGTAATTGATGGAGCTTAAATCTCAATTAACAATAAAAAAGCTAAAACTGAAAAATGAAAATTAAGATATGAAGCATAATTGAGAGTATAAATTGATAGATTTAGAAGTCAAATATTATAGTTAATGTAGAAATTAAAGATGAGAGATAAAAGATATAATTAATTCGATAAGATAGAACAAGTACTTAATAATGAAAATTAAAATAACAAGACAAATTATGAAGGAGCCCCCAAAATTATAGATAATGTTTAAATATGAAAAATTAAATTCTAAGAACTCAAGAAAGAACATCGTCAAGTTGAAAAAAATAGGTTTTTACATCTACAGAATTGGATTCATTACAGAAAAGGCCAAAGGAACTGTCTAATTCTGGAGTTTGATCTAATGTAGCATCTTATAGGTCAGGATAAGTACCTATTAATAATGTATGCTTGTATAGTATCCAAATATATTTCCATATCCATAGTTATCCATCTTAAAATGAAAATTTTATCTACTTTACATAATACAAAATAGCTTATTGTTGAATTATATGTTTTTTATATTCACTCTATATTATTAGTTATAATTTAGTGATCTAATTAATAATACTAAATATAAATTAATCTATTTTTGTTAATGTATTTATAAGAACGATATAAGAAATAAAATTAAATTAAATTAAAAATCATATTATATAAAAGAAAACTATTATTA